GCAGGCCTCTCGGGAGGGAGCGCCTCCACCACTGAGCCATCGGCAGCCCCGCTGCGTCTGCACTGACCGCCTGAGCCGCGGGGCTCGGAGCGCCTGGGACCAACGCCCAGGACGACACAGCATTACAGCTACTTGAATCGCCAAGAATGTCGACTTCCCTCCCTCTGGTTTTAGGTTAAAGTTATGATTGACAGATGCAATGTTTTTATCTCCCCCGAAACCTGTAGCATAGTTTTTTCTGAATTGTTGGGGCTCAGACCCCGGAGTCCTCGGAATCCGTGATTTTGATGAACCAGCTGAATTGTACTAATGTGAAATTTTTTCTCCAAGTGCCCTTCTCATCGTAGCACACAGCTGGCCCAGGGTGGCGATGGGACTGTGCTAGCTCCCCGGGTCGTCTGCTCTCTGCGGACTTGAACTAAGGTCCCTGCCCTGTCAGCCTTCAGAGAGCAGCTCCCTCCTCGGAGCCCGGCTCGCTGGCGTCTCCACCGCCCTGGCTCTTACCAACACCTGGGGAAAGACTTTGTACATTCTTTTCATTTGGCGTTTCTTTACGTTTCTGGATTTTATTCTCAATATATTTTTGCTAAACTTGTTTCACAATTACCACCGACTGAATCGTGTATTTACTGACGTGACCCTGAGTCCTCCCGGCCAAGGTGTGGCTTTGGTGGGTGCGGCTGCGTGGTGGCTTGGTGGTGACTCTCGGGGAAGGCCCTCTCCGGGGCCTGAGGAGAGGCGAGGCTAGAGCTGGCACGCGGAGTCGTGGCCGCTTTCTCGCTCTGTGGGTCTGTTCGCAGAACACAGCTGTGCCGGTCAGATGTGCTCGGCCAGGGCACCACCTGCCGACCCCGGAGAAACTTCTGGAAAGTACTGCATTCTCTGCAAGATGCGATTCTTCTTCCTGGAGTCCCTCTCCACCCTGGGGCTCAGAACCCCCCAAGAAGAGGGAGCATCCGCCAGGCACACGTGTGCGCCGGAGCCTGCTGCCCCCGGCGTGGTGGGGCAGGAACACGCAGCGGGCACGTTTCTGACGAAGGCCCATGCTCTGCAGGGTTCGCAGCTGGTCCCGCGTGGCTGGGGGGCCCTCTCTCTCCCGGGCCCTTCTCCACCCCCCGGCTTTGTGACTAGAGCTGGGGTGGGCCTGTCAGACTGAGACCGTGTGGCTCCCGGGGGCTGTGGGGTCCAGGCCTCCAGGCTGACGGGTGGTTTTCCTGGCTGGTCGCCCGGCCTTCGCTCGTGACCTCGGGCAGAGTCACCACAGAACCGAAAGGGAAGCCCAGAGCTTTGCCCCCGACCACGTCTGCACGTGGGGTTTCGTTCTCATGGAAACCACCTGACCGACATGGGACTGCGGAGCGTTTTTCGTTCGTAACTTTTAAATTGTCTTGAGAAAACCCTGGCTTGATTCACATTTCCCTCCTACGTCCTGGCGGCGTCCGCGGTCTGGGCGGTGGCTGCAGCTGCCGTGGGCGTGGCGCAGGCAGAGGCCGCCACCCTTGCCTCCTGCTGGGCGTCAGGGCCCAGACTTGGGTTTGCAGTGCACTTTGGGGAGCAGATTAACTTATTTCCACATTTGACAGCAGTAAAATCTTGTGATTGAGTCACTGATATTTCCAAGTTTTAAACCATCTTGAAGGAAATACTAGAAACATCATTTTCAGTATGGCTGCCCTTTTCCCCAAAACTGTTAAGCGAATGAGCAGATAACACTACCTTTGAACGTTAGAAAACCATCGCTGGGTCAGGGCCGCAGCCGTTGGAGGGCCTTCCCACTGGGGCCGCGGGGCTGTCTCCACGGGGGCACTCGCCTCACAGGTGGGGTTTCAGTTTTTCCAAACATGTTCCAGCCCTTTTGTCATTAATGTGAAGCAGAAACGAAGTGAAAACGGCCCAGCCTCAGGATTCCTTGGTGTCAGGAGCCCATGCCCAGTGTGGTCACAGCTGCCCGGCTGGCACTGGCCCGGGAAGGTGGGCGCCTCACCAGCTGCAAGGCCCAGGAGCGTGTCCGCCTCAGCAGTGACCACTGGGGAGGCCAGCCTGGCCCCCAGCACGTGCCCCAGCACGTGGAGGTCTATCCGCTCGCCCTCCCTCCCGGGCCCCACTCTCAGGTCTGTGCTGACGCCTTTGAAGTATTGATCTTGGCGTAGAACCGTGTCCCGTCTTTCAGGACGACCTTGTCAGAAGCGGAAGGCAAGCCTGTTCCACGGAGTCAGTGCCACGTTCTCAGTCCCAGGGGTGCGGTGTCTGACATACGTGCGTGTCCGTGACGGTGCCCACGTGCCGTCGGGATGTGAAACGATCAGAACTTAAACCTCAGCCTCTGCCTCCTGGCGTCTAGACTTGACGGCCGGGCTTCTCTTAGGAACATCGGTGCTATCGGTTCTGATAGACTCAGAAACTTGAAGTTCACCTCTAGGGGGGATATACTGAAATGTAGATGTGGGAACTGCCAATAGCATTTAAAATGGAAAGTTGTGTATGAATATTTTTGTATTAAAAACTTTGAAAGGCTTTTTTCTTAAACGTGTTTTATATGGGAGGCAACGTGAAGTTCTGGTCTGAATTGTCACTGCAAGGCGCCCAGCACGCCCTCCAACGCCCCAGCCTCAGACGAGGGGGAGAGGCTGGTCTCAGGGAGTCTAACAGACATCAGAACAGCAAGTGCAGAGCTGACTGAAACGACGTTTGTGTGTGTTTTAATTTTAAAAATAAGTTGTTGCAAGTCCCCATTAAAGGTGATGTGGTCAGCGGGGACGAGCTGCTGGCTCTTCCCACCTCTAAAGAGCCTCCCATGGCCCCACCCCTACCCCACCCCACCCCCGAGGGGGCGCTGCCCCCAAAACATGGCCCTGGGCTTCCTGTAGAAAAGCTAAACTTTAATCACTCAGGTAGTTTGTACAATGAACACAGGTGCCCGGAGGCTGGTCTCAAATGCTCACAACTGTACAAAAGACGCGTAGAAAACCTGTGGGCGAAGAGTGTAGCTCGGCCTCAGCAGCCTGTCCCCACCCTGTTCTCAGCCCCGCCTGGCCCCCCTTTGGTCCCCTCAACCTCGAGGGCAATGGAATTTAAGAAAAATAAAAAAGTAAAAGTCTATAACAGGCAGAGCTGTCACTAAAATTAGGAAGTTAGAACTTTTTTGGTTAACTTGAACATTCAAAAATGTAATATTGAATCCAAAAAAGTGACTTAGATCACACAAAAAGTAACCCATCTTAAAACTTAAAAAATCAGTCTAAAACACCCCGAGAACGAGGCGGGGCTCGGCAGCATGGCGGAGGCCTGCCGCTCGGAAGCCAGAGCCGTGTCCTCGGAGCCTGTCGCCGGCGGAAGCAGTGGCGGGCGACCCTAGGACACGTTGGCCATGGGCTTGTACTTCTTGAAGCGCGTCCACTGGCCTGTAGCGTAGTTCATCTCGAACACGGTGTCCACCAGCATGGTGGTGCTGCCCTGGCCGTCCGACTTGGGCAGGTCCTCCGTGTGCTCGCTGAGCTTGATCTGGATCACGTCCCCCTGCTCCTGGCACGGGTTCTCTCGGGAGCCGGCCATGAAGCCCAGGATGAGGGCCTTCTCGGGCCGCGTGACCTTGTTGGCCGTCTTGAACATCTCCTGCGCGGCGAACATCTGCTCTCTCTGCAGTGCAGGCAGGGGGGTGAGTGTCTGGACCGCAGCCCAGGTCCTGCTTCCCTCCACCTGCAGGCCCTGCCAGGCACCGCTGGCACCCCCACTGCCGGGCACCTACCGTGAGGGACAGATTCTTCTTGGGCTGCTGCTGGGCAGGGGGCTGAGTCTGTGGGGCCACCATGGCCACTGGAGGTGCCTGGGCAGCAGGGGTGACAGCTGGGGGTGTGGTGGGCGTCAGAGGTGAGGCGGGCGCCGCGGGCGTGGGTGTGGGCGTGGCTGGGCTCAGGCCGCTGTTGTACATGGGTGCCCTCTGCTTGAACTGTGCTGGCAGGGCAGGGCTCGGGGTGCTGGGCTCCTCGGGGGGCCGGCTGGCTTCCCGGGAAGGTGGGGCTGTAAGCACAGTGAGGCCTGCTGAGGGGCCAGGAGGTTGGGGACCCCTCCCCCAAGCCCTGTGCCGGCCCTGCCCCTCCTGGTGGTGACTGTCCTGCCCACACTGCCTGGCCTGGGCAATGGTCAGCCCTGAGACCTGGGCTCCCCAGGCTCCCGGAC